TGTGGAAGAAGGGCGGGTCGCATGTGGGCTTAGAGACAAGGAAAGAGAGGCGTGGGAATGGGTGGTAAAGGAGGGGGGGATGCGGGGTCGGGAGGGGAAGTGGTGGAGAGAGGGCGTGCGGGGAGGTAAGGAGGGAGAGGGAGCAGACGTGTAACCGATAAAAGCAAAAGGAATTGGTTGGAGTCCCCATGCTCGGGATTAAAAATCATTGCCATAGACGGCACCGAAACCTTTGGGTGATGATTAGTTTGGGACTCACTTTGTCTTTAATTTCCTTTTTCCTCCTTTGTGACGTCACAGCTTATGCTCACCGTGTACTGAGCTTGGGATCAGGAATTAATAGGGCTCTTGCAGGCGCCTCCTTGAATTTGTATCCCGTCCTCTTAAGAAATGTACGTCGCCTGTGGGCTGTGCGTGTGCCTCGAATTCTTTTCTTTGCGTGGTGTCGATGACCATGGCGATGCTTGTACACACGTTGAAGCCAGCGGTGGAGTTATGCCCGCCTTGATCCAATTTGTTCATCTTTATGCTACAGCATGTCACCCATTCAACACTTTAACTCAACAAATTCATTTCGATATTTACGGTTTCCGCAATCCACGACGTGTTCGCCTCAGGCTGCACAGTCCATTTGTCCTTCTGCACGCCCGCTCTAACGACCCAACAGAGCTCTTTCTTTTTGCCTGTGCGACGACTGTGCGACCGTCGGAGACGGAACAAGATGCAAATCCTGTGCGGACATATGCTTCTCCTTTTCAATGCGGTCACGATGGCCTTTGCACCGGCCGGTTGGCTGGCATCGTCTTCATCGCTAGAGGGATGCCTCAAGGTGAGACAAAATGCGTACGATCCATGTACTACCCATTACCTTCTCAACGCCCACTTCTTTCCCATGTACGCCCAGAGCTTACCCCCTCCTTCCATTCAGGCACCCGATGCCTTTTCCCGACTTTCCACACCTCCCGAACGCCGCTCCGTCCATCGACCTCCCTCTCCCCCGGGCCCCTCCTGCCTGTCCTGCCGCGGCGGGCACACGGCCCCAATGAACGCTGGCGTGCTCTTCAAGAAGCTGAATACGGGGGCGGCCGTGACCGAGTTTCTGGGGACGGGGGCGCTCACCCTGGTGGTGGCCCTGGTCACCTCTTCTCTCTCCACCTTGTCCAGGGGCCAACAGGCAGTGGGGGTAGGAGCCGCGGTCCTCACTTTGATATTGACGGGGCTGAAAAGCAGCGGGGCGAATTATAACCCGGTGATTTCCCTCTCCCTCCTCCTCTTGGGCAAAATTACCCTGGGGCGAGGCATTCTCTACTTGTGCTCCCAGGTAGCCGGCGCCTTGACGGGGGGGGCCCTCGCCCGGGCCCTGGTAGGATCCGCCGGGCGGTTGCGAGATCCTTCCTTCCTCCTCAGCCCTCCCATCCTGTGCATGGAGAGCTTCTTCTCCTTCGCCCTCGTCCTCCTCGTCCTTCACGCCTCCGTCTCTTCTGGGGCTCAGGCCCACGGCCGGAACCAACATTTCGCAGGGGCCATCGCCGTCTTTGTCAGCGTGGCAGCGGCGCTGGGGGCGTCGATGAACCCTGCCGTCGCCTCAGGACTCTTTCTCAGCACGGGTACATCCCAAGGGTTGGGGGCCCTGTGGGCCCTCCCCGTCCTGGCTTCCATCCCCGCCGTCGGCCTTTATCGGCTAAGCGACCCGGACGAGGCGATCACCCTGCCCTCCGTCCCTGCATTCCTCTCCCGTCTCCTTCCTGGGGGTGCGAATGGCTCCCTGAGGATCGGGGCTTGGAGGGAGTACATGAATGAGGGCGTGGGTGCCTTCCTCCTGACAGGCACGCTCCTGTTTGCCTCGCTGACGGGTACGGAGGGTAGAAAGGGAAGAAGGAAAAGAAGGGAAGGATGAGGATGAGGTGGAGAAGAAGG